TCTGCTGCTGGTGCCTATGTGTTCTCTCTGCTCTAGATGCACAGAGATGATGGAGTGCTGTGCTGGAGGAAGGAGGGCACAAGAGACATAACAGGCAGGCAGGAGAAAAGGTGAGAGGGAATAACAGAAAGTAACAGGAGCTTCCACGAGACAGAGGAGGAGGAGCCTCTTATGTTCCTCTCTAGCACCCCCAGGAGCCTGGACTGATTAACACCAGCTTCTCAGGGAGCTTCCTGTTTCCTGCTGCTGCTCTGAACCCACTTGAGGAGAACAGGCAGTCGGCTGAAATAGTAGGAGCCAGTTAGGCCCTTAAGACACTGATATCTTCCGTCACTCAGGCCCTGCTACCAGCCTGCTTCAATTGAGTGTTGAGAGCCACTATAGCCGGCACAGAACAGCAGTCATGAGTGAAAGACGAAAACACCCCTCTGGGGCAGCATTCAGAAAAAGAAAGAAAGCAAAGGAAGCTTTTCTATCTAAGCAGGAAAGGAACTCTCTTGAGATACATAGACATACATGTTCACGGTGAGCCTTCCGGCCCCAGTGAGGATGAGAGTGGTGAGGAGATGCCTGATCTTCCAGTTAGTCAGAGTGCAGGTGACCTGGCAGCTACTGCAGCATCCACATCTCCATCTCAAATGGATGTAACCATGCACATTCCTGAAGAAAAGTATAGATCAGAGAAGAGTATGGTGGAGGTGCAAGAAACAGCTGCTGCTGAGTTTAGTTCCTTAAGTCTAGATGATCCAGGACTGTGGACCCACTTGAGCAGTAGCCTGAGGGACTTCCTTGTACTGCGTGGGCCACAGCAAGTAAAAAACATCATGTTCCCCAAAGACAATGAAAATAGAAGTTTCCGTCCAACACATTACTGGCGTGAAATCCCCAGTGGTGACAAAGTTGAGAGGCCATGGCTTATGTACTCAAAAACCCAGAATGCTGCATACTGTTTTTGTTGCAAACTCTTCCAGTCTAATGTTCCAGCCACATTGGGTTCTACAGGAACAAAGGACTGGAAAAATCTGGCTAGAAATCTGGCATGCCATGAGAAGGCAGCAAATCACCAGAGAGCATTCCACAGGTGGAAAGAGCTTGAGATGAGACTAAGGTTAAAGGCCACCATAGATGATCACCATCAAGAGAAAATTGCATCAGAGTCTCTTTACTTGCATAATGTTCCAAAAAGGTTCATTGCCATTGTAAGAATGCTTGCTACCCAAAACCTTGCATTCCATGCCACTTCAGATCAGCTGTATGTGCCAAACAATGGAAACTTCCTTAAAATTGTGGAACTGATGGCTGAGTTTGATACTGTACTCCAGGAGCATCTAAGAAGAGTCACCACCCAAGAAATGTACACACACCACTACCTTGGAAAAACTATTCAAAATGAGATCATACAGTTACTGGCAACAAAAGTCAAACAGAAGATTGTGGCAGATCTGAAGTCAGCAAGATATTACTCTGTTGTTCTGGACTGCACACCTGACATCAGGTATAGGGAACAAATTACTTTAATGGTGCGTTCTGTAACAACAACAGAACCTAGTGAAAATGTCCCTGCAATGGTGACTGTCAGAGAGCATTTTCTAGAATTTATTGGCATTGATGATACTACAGGAGCTGGTATGTCAAATGTGCTTCTTAAAAAGCTGGAAGATAACAGGAATTGCGATAGCTGACATGAGAGGTCAGGGCTACAATAATGGTGCCAACATGAGAGGAAAGAACAGAGGAATGCAGACACAGATCCAAGAGTTAAACCCTTGAGCTTTTTTTGTCCCATGCAGTTCTCATTCATTGAACTCGATGGTCAGTGATGCAGCCTCAGCTTCTAGTGAGGCTGCTGAATTTTTTAATGTAATTCAAAGCATCTATGTATTTTTCTCTGCATCAACTCATCAATGGCAAATTTTGAAGCAACATCTGGGAACATACTCTCTGACACTGAAACCACTGAGTGCCACATGATGGGTAAGCCGAGTGTAGGCGATAAAACCTATCAAACACCAAATTGGGAACATAGATGATGCTGTAGTTGCCATTATGGAGGATAATACTATGACAGGAACTGTTCATGCAAGAACAGTGGCAGAGGGAAATGGAATCACCAGAAACATACATAACTTCAAATTTCTGTGTGGCTTAGTGTTGTGGCATGACATACTGTTTGAAATAAATGTTGTAAGCAAGAGACTCCAAGATGTTGACCTTGATATATCTGAAGTAATGGAACAACTGGACAAAGCAAAGTCATTCCTACAGTCCTACCGGTCAGATGAGGGATTTCAAAACTTTCTGAAGAGTGCACAGAAGTTGGCAGAGGAACTTCACACTGAAGCTATTTTCCCACCCATTCAAGAATACAAGTCACCGAAGAAGACATTTTGATTACGAGGCACAGGATAATCCCACAAGGGACCCCAAACAACAATTCAAAGTTGAATTCTTTAACCAGGTGCTAGATTGTACAATACAATCAGTTGAAGAACGTTTCATGCAGCTCAAGGAACACAGCAGTATATTTGGGATGTTGGATGATATTCCAAAACTCCACACTATACCTGAAGAAGCCCTACACCAGCAGGGCACTAGAGGCCGTGTTGACACATGATGACATGTGCAATATTGATGCGAGTGATTTAGGTGATGAACTGAAAGCCCTTTCAAGATACATTTCAGCAGGATCAACTCCAAAGGCTGTTCTGGAATATAAGTGCACAAATAAGATGACCACCCTCTTTCCAAATGCTTTTGTTGCTCTGCGCATACTTCTAACAGTTCCTGTAATAGTTGCCAGTGGAGAATGCAGCTTCTCCAAGCTGAAGTTAATAAAAACACATCTACACTCCACAATGACACAGGAGAGGATGGTCGGCATTGCAACCATCTCAGTAGAGCTTGAGCTGACCCAGACTGTGGACCTTCAGGAAGCAGTTCAGATCTTTGCAACCAAGAAGGCACGGAAAGCACCACTTTGATTATTCAAACAGATAAAAATGCCAGTGTTTACTATGCAGACAAGAAAAGTTACATTTGCTATTCAGGTGTTTTGAAAGTTAAGTGTCACTTAAAATTTTTGAACAAGGCATTTTAAGTTGTTAGTTCTACTCTTCTCATGGTACTGCTCTGCTACCTACCCCAATAAAGGAGAACAGGAAGAAGACAGAATTCTACTATACTTCGGGAACCTTGGCTGCAAGGCAGCCTGCCAGGCGAGCTGTGAAGCCAGGACTCTTGGGCTTTCAGGCTCTCAGCAAATAGGCAGGCTACTGTGGAGCCTGGCTCCAACGCTCCTGGCAGGTGGGCTGTGGGGGAGTCAAGGTGGAAAGCTGACAGGGAACTTGCCTGGTTTCCTTCAAAAGATTCATTGAAATTGATAAGTTCCTGAAAAACGTTTTACTTTCAATGAATTGGTGGTTCTGATGGAAAGGCGTTTTGTCAGAAAATTTCCAATCAGCTCTAAGTGTGGTCTTTCACTCATAGGTTGCTGGTTCAAATCAAGCCTTAAGCTGTTAGCAACCGCACCCATAGAGATTATTTTACCAGGTTCTGGTTGACATCCATTGACAGGTGGTGGTGTAATGCAAGCTTGCACTGCTGCAGCCTGGATTGTGATTTTTATATGGTTAAATAGAAGATTTTATTTGCCAAAGCAGTCAATCCCGCATCTTACACAACTATTAAATTCACACTCAAAATTAGAAAATAAATCGAAACATGAGATTTTTAAAAAAAACTATTATTCACTTTTCATAAATTTTAGCCACAGCCTTTAATTACTTAAGATGTGTTTAACGCATGCCTTTTTCTTTCCCCAGCCTCTTTGCACTTTCTGCTTATTTAAAAAAATTCTATTGATGTAAAATAATACAAAACTTCATGAATACAGCTGACAGTATTCAGCAGGAGGTTTTTCATAACATCTAGACATGTTCCTGTTTATCCTTGAATTGAAATCCTAGTGATGAACTGGCAACATGACATGAATTTCCATGGCAAAAGATTTGTCACAAGGCTGTAACATGACAGTGAGCTTGTCTGTCAGAAGAGGCGCCCAAGTTTCAGCCTTCCTCTCCCACAGTGCTTTCTGTAATAGCAGAACCCAGAGTGACTGAATTTAAACAGAAAGCAGTGAACTTCCAAATTTGCTGAGGAGTTTTTTTGTCCCTCTTAAAGGATTTGAAGTTTTTCTAAGATTAATGTTAATTGAACAAAAACTACTAATATGTAAAACTCACCAAATCATTTCATATATACAATCACATTTCTTTATGGAAATGTACATACAGATAACATCACGCTGATTGTGGTGTTATTATTATATAAACATAGATCCTTCTATAGTTGAATTCCTAGAATAAATGTCTAAACTACAGGTACGTGAATTGAATTCCTGTACGATAGGTGTAGTTAAGTTAACACTCCGTCTGCATTTAGATATGAAAAAAATCAATCTCCATCTAATAAAATGTGTTCTGCCTCTCTCAGCAGTGCTTGTCTGATCTTTTAAGTTCATCAGAGAGCTCTCCCTCATGACTATTAAAATGCATTCGGGTGTGCTATTGCTCATTACCTTAATCAGGGCGTAAGACTGCAAGCTACAGCCTATTACATTAAAGATGTTCATCAAATAATTCTTTTTATAAAATTCCTAATCTGGAGAAATTCTGCTCTGTTCTCTTTTGAAGCATCATTGTATTTGAGAGAGATGCCTGAATTTTATGAAAAGCCTTCAACAGTTAAGTAAATTTGCAAAATTTGAACTGTCCAGTCTGTTGTGACCCAAGTCTCAGTGCATTGCAAAAGCTGCTTGGTACCAGTGACTAGTTACGTTTTGCCAGACACTCTATTCCTACTCTCTCTACTATACTGCACATTACAAAAAAATGACATTCCTTATTGTAAAGTTGATCGTATGGTCAAGCGAATTTTATTAGGACGTTTATCACTTTGTAGATCTGAAGGATATGTAAACAATTTCTTTTTCACCTTTCTAGGTCCTGGGAACGCCTACAAGGGAACAAATTAGAGAAATGAATCCAAACTACACTGAATTCAAATTCCCTCAGATTAAGGCACATCCATGGACTAAGGTGAGGCTGTCTGAGTTGGATAATGATGGTGTGTGGGGTAAATGTAACATTGCAAAGTTTAAGTCCAGACCTTGATTTCTGTGCTTGGTTGCTTTCAAACTAACCTGGGACCCTGTAGTTGAATCAGAACCCAATAATTGTTTATGTAGGGAAGGAGGGCGAATGTACCTAGGCTCTGCATTGAATTGTCCATGGCTCTGTTTTTTTGTGATTTGCCCATAGACATTTTCCAGGCTGGGTATGTATTTATAACCCATTACAATGCACTTATATTCCATCATAGCACAATTCTTGACCTGTGCAAAGAATCTCCTATAAATAAATACATTCTTTAGAGGTGGGTGATGCACTCTTATGGTACAAATACATCATCTCTGAATACAGGAGTGAGACCCACAGTGCAAATCAGTCCCATTTCCCATCTCATAAACATAGTGAAGATCATTAGATTTGGAACCCCAGTAATATGCACTAGTTATTTTTTCTTACATTACTTTTAAAAGATTTATTTTTAGTTTGTTTCCAAGGAAGAGAATACTGCTACAGAATTTCTCAATAGCAAGTTAGGAAACCCAGCAACACAAATATGATGATTTTCAAATGCTGAGGAATTAAGTGCATGGATTGGCTTGTGGAAGAGTACATACAGTCCCTCAGTTTTGCCAGTGATTAGTTCAAAATCATTTTGGACCAAGCCTTTCACAGTGCTAGAGGCCCCGAGCAGATGATGTAACCTACTTCATGTTCTTTGAGATTGTGGGCTATGCACATTTCTGGAAGTCAAATCAATATTTTGGTAATTTCTTCTCAGATGTTCTAAATACATGCTTCCTCTCCCCAACGATCCTGGGTTGCATTTCCAGATCTTAGTTCTTTATTGCATGTTGGTTCCAAGACTGAGTGATTTATAATACTCAGAGGCCGTTAAATCAGCAAACCTGTTTATATTATGTGTTAATAGAAAAATTTCTGAGATAGTAAAATTTATGGAACTCCATGAAGATTAGGCTTACTTTCATTATTTCAAAATAAATAATGGAAAAAGCTACAAAAATTAGCCTAAGACATTAAAACAGTGAAGTTGTAGTGGAAAATGGTTCTAGTGCTGCATCTGAATGACTTGGTGTTGAAGGTGGGCTTTAACTGAATGCAGTATGTATTGGAGCCATAGCCTGTCCTGGTGCCGGAACACATTATAAGTAATCAGAGTTGAATATCTAACCTGGTTATACATCTCCTCTACCATCTGTAGATCCTTAGGTGTCATTTGTTTGCATATGGGTGCCCCTTGGGCCACAATAGAGACCTTTTTGTAAAGCTGGTGAAGAATATAATGTGATCTTCATGCAGAAAGTGAAACTGAGAATTCCTTCTATTTTTACTTTTTATACGCAAGTGAGTGCTTCTCTGGGCTTCTAAATGACCACAAGTGAAATCAGGCAAGCATAGAGCAATGAGAGGAGCTTGCCAGAAGGTTGAATTTCCTTTTGCATTAGCACATGGGATTGTTTTGTTTTGGTATTGAGAACTCTGCTTGCAACATAATACCTCATTCTCAGTTTGTTATACAACAACAAACTCCTCCCAATACCAGATGGGTGTAGAACAGCATCTAAATTAATTTATTGGATTTGGGGAGGTTGACCATCTGATTATGAGTTTTTTGTTCTTTCCTTGCCATTTAAAGTCTCAAGTAGCAAAAAAAAAAAAACAAGTCTAGAATGTCCTTTCTAACTATCATCTTTCCCTACTCTTTTAAAAACTCTCTTCCTCCGTTTTGCCGTTCAGCCATGAAAGTTTTCTGGTCTTCTTGTGTCATCTCTGATGGGATGTGGGGAAACAGTGCTGCCTCTCCTGCCCTTCAAATTTCCCACCTGATAGTTATCTTCAGTTTCTTTTAAACTAAGAGTTGCAGAAACATTCATTTGTTAAATTGCAGTTGTTGTTGTTGAGCAGAGCGAAGGAAGGAATGAAAATTAGAAGCATTTGTTATCATTTTTATTAGAATGACCTATGAATGTGTACTGACAACCATTACAGGTTGTCTGCAGGGTTTAATCTCCAGAACTTTCAGCATCAAATACAAACATCTATTACTTGAGCTAATGGAGTAACTTGTTAGCTGGCAGCATTAATAAGTTCTGTTCTTTTCTGTGTGGGCTGGCCATGGCAGGGGCATGACAGACACTTTACTTTACCACATCTCCATACTAATGAAGGCGGCTAGGGAGTTCTGATGTAGAACTCCATTGTCTGCATTTTGTTCCTGAGCCATACATTGGCCACTCCTGACACACATGGATGTGCTATTTCATCCCCCATATCCATAGTAGTGTTTCTGTTCACTAGTGGCTGGTAGGTCAAAAAGAGAGCAGCTGCTGCTGCTACTTTTGGTATCTAGTAGGAGATCTGTTTCCTCAAGTATTAGAGCAACTGCTTTAATATCTGAGAGTCCCGAGTTCAGATCTCAGCAGGAATATATTCCTCATATTGGCATCCAGTTTTAGGCATAAAGCAGGATCCTGAGCTTAAGTTTTATTGCTCTGTACACGGAGTTAGAGCTCACATTACCTGACGCAGTGTAGAATGGTCAATACCAATACAGTGGAGATGTCCATGTACAGAACTATGGCTAATGACATATAGTATGAAGGATTGTTTATGTGTTCATATTAGAGTAGTGGTGTGTGATTCCGGTACAAACTCAGTTAGTTTGAGAACAAATCTTTGAGTGACACCAGATTTGGCGCTTCTAGCCGCCTTATTGTTTAAAACCTAGTTCAGAGTGTATGTATGTCTAATTCTCCAACATTACTGTGTATAGGCTCAGATAGATGGATAAATTCCAACTTGCTAGGAGATGAAGACAGAAGACAATTGAACCTTCTGCCGCAAAGGGAACAGATAAGCCTAAATTTGCCCCTCAAGAAGGGGAATTATAAATTTGCCTCTCAAGAAAGGGAATGTTCTTTTCTAATATTTATACCACAATCTTTATACTTTTTTGTTCTTGCATATGTCGATTACACTAGGTATGTGTGCATCTTGTGCATGAGTGCCACAGAGTTTTCCCTAGTGGTACCCGCAGGGGCAGCCACACCTGCACCCTGCTTTTCCTTGTGCTGCAAGTTGAGGACATAAATGAGTGGAGTCACCCCTCACATCTTGTTGGTCCTGCTTTGAGCAAGGGGTTGGACTAGATGACCTCCTGAGGTCTCTTCTAACCTTAATCGTCTATGATCTTTCAGTTCCTTTTTACCTTCAGCGATTGGAGTGTGCTGTCAGGTCATTCCTCTGGCAAATGTGCTGTCTTAGCTAGATGACATTAGACTGTTGTTGTGGTTGTCCGTAGTAAAGAAATTCCAGTCTCCACCTGATACCAGGGGCGCCTACACCAAGGTCCCTGGCTTCAAACCCTGCTCTGGATGTCACAAGCTGATGCCCATGAGAGACCCTCACTCTCACAGCTTGAAGTGCTTGGGTGAGGGTCGCATTAGGGACAGGTGTTTGATTTACTGGAGCTTCACGACTGAGACCAGCTGCTTCCTTGGCACAGGCAGCAGAGCCATCAACTGCGTTTACAGCAAAACAAAGGTCCATTTGAGCCACCCAGGAGGCCTCTGCAGCTGTGAAGGATCTATTGTGCTTCTTGGTATGGCTCTTGCTGGTCATTCAGCTCCATGGTACCTTGCTGGGGCCATCACACATGGTGCATTTGTAGGCTTTCATGTAGTGGTCTGCTACAGTGCCAGCTACACCAGGTCTTGTGCTGCTTCCCTTGGTCTGAATGCCAGCTCTGAGACCAGCAGTAGCTACTCTGGCTCAGCACACAGTACTGATAACCTGGTGTTGTTGCCAGTATTGTAGGCCCATTGTAGATCATGGTCCTGATCTCCAGTGATGCTGCCCAGTACTGCTTTGCACTGGCCTTTGGAGTTCTCATGTTTCTCCTCAAGAGTCTGAAGTGGGTTCCTGCATCTCTCACTTCTGGGAATCCGGGGCATCCTGCAGGGATTGTTCCCATTCTTGGAGTTATCTTGAGTAGGTCAAAAGAATGGGTGTGCCCGGTCTAGGCACAAGTCCCTTCAGCCCCGTCAATGGCCCTAGTGGGTACCATGGGATATGTCTCCAGTGTCTAGATTGTTATCTCTGCTGCATCACAAAAGTCAGTCACTGAGAAGATAAGTTTCACTGCCTAGTACCGGCAGACTATCTAAAGTCTGTACTGGGCAGCCACTACGCTACAGAAATATATCCCCAAAAGGGAGAAGTTTCTCCACACAGGCCACTCAATGTTGGTACCAAGATCCCACGGGGCACTGAGGCTCAGAACCGCCCATTACTTGCTTCAGACAGGTCTTCTACATTGGTCATTCAAGACCATCCTCAATAAGGTTCTAACCTGCCTCTTCTGAACACCTCGTCCTCCTTACCAGATGAGACCCTGGTACTGGAGATGACATCTCTAGTATCGGATGATTTTAAGTCTCATAGACTTTAAGGTCAGAAGGAACCATTATGATCATCTAGTCTGACCTCCTGCACAGCGCAGGCCACAGAATCTCACCCACCCACTCCTGCAATAAACCTTTCACCTATGTCTGAGCTATTGAAGTCCTCAAATCATGGTTTAAAGACTTCAAGGTGCAGAGAATCCTCCAGCAAGTGACCCATGCTCCAAGCTGCAGAGGCAGGCGAAAAACACCCAGGGCCTCTTCCAATCTGCCCTGGAGGAAAATTCCTTCCCGACCCCAAATATGGCAATCAGCTGAACTCTGAGCATGTGGGCAAGACTCACCAGCCAGATACCCAGGAAAGTAACTCAGATCCCACTCCATCTAACATCCCATCACAGGCCATTGGGCCTATTTACCATGAATATTTAAAGATCAATTAATTGCCAAAATCATGTTATCCCATCATACCATCTCCTCCATGAACTTATCAAGCTTAATCTTGAAGCCAGATAGGTCTTTTGCCACCACTGCTTCCCTTGGGAG